ATATGACACAGAAGTATTCTTTTTGTGTTTCCCTGAATATTATTTAAATATGCAGGTTTGTCAAGCAGTTTTACTCTCAGTTCCAGAGGAGAAACTGTAGATGGTTTCAAAAAACAGGCACAAAAATACTTAATTAGAGTTATTGGAACTAAATTAAGTGATATAATGGTAGATTTAAAAAAATATATTAATGGAGATGTATATTTTTGTACATTTGCAATGAGAAATAAAATGATTTTGCAGCCTCAGAAGTGTGTCTTACTTTGTAATAAACTAGAAACCAAAATCCTGATTAATTATACTTCTCCCAAACATATATACTGTATTGTTTTCTATAAACAGGAGCTAACTATACATTTACCAGATCTGTAACAGGTCTGGGATATTTCACAGATCTGCTTTAGGTTGAATACTAGTCATGACTAGATATGTCCAATCCCCTAAAGCAAATCTGAGACTTTTGTATGTATTCTTTGTTCATTACAAAGTTACTTTTATAGAAACCACCAAACATATTTTTGGATTCCAAATTATATGTAATACATTTACAAAGTGTACACATTGTAATTCAAACAGTACATTCATTTTGGCTTTAAAAATACAAGATACTTTTTTTTGTAAAATATTTTAACAAAAAGGTTAACATTTCATCAATCAACTACACAAAATATATGAACTTAAACCTTGTTCTATACTATTGAGGAACCAGTTAAGTAAGATAAAAAAAACCTACCTCAAGAGTGGGTTTGTGGATACTTGGTAAATATTATCCATAACATCCAAAAACTGTAAAAACAAGATAAAATATATATTGCTTTCACATATTTTCAAAATAACACAAGTATTGTATTAAAAACAACTATAAAGCACTCTGCTCCTAATTTTGTCTAAAAGATGATGCTACAACAGAAAAACACTATACTTTGTTGCCTACACATACAATTTCTTAGTACATTAGAGATCAAGATTATATACAGGAAAATAAATTCCAATTGTTACGACAGTGGAAGTTATGCGATGCTGGGAGCTTGCACGCTAGAGTTTCTCAAAGGATCATGAATTATCGAGGAACCCCGCAAATGACCAAGTTTTGCTAGATGCCCTCTTTTTTAGTATATAAGCCTGGTGATAGAAACCAGTGGGATTAGAAGAGATATAGATAGATTGAAGAGAAAGATAACTGAAGCAAGCAAACAGTTGGCACCACAAGTAAAGTGTGTGAATCATTGTGATTTATAGCATGTATTATAAAGTTTGTTAAGTTTAAAATCACTGTAGAATTTCTGTGTATTCTAAAAAAAATGTATCAAGAAAGAATAAACTAGTTTTAATCAAGAAAGGACTTCTATCACTGAAGTTTCACAGAAAGAATTTGTACCGAAAATTAACAAACAAGCAGATATGCAACAAATTGGTATCCAAAGTGGGCTGGAAAAAAGAAGATGGAAATGTGAAGTGGGAATTCAAACTACAGCTTAGCAGATTTGATGGCAGCAATACAAGAACAGCAAAAGAACAAGAAGAATGAGAAGATAAACAGAAAAGAGACTACAACAATGG